CGGGAACGGGACAATGGCAATGGGACAGTAGGAACGGGAACGGGACAATGGGAACGGGACAGTGGGAACGGGACAATGGGAACGGGAACGGGACAATGGGAACGGGACAATGGGAACGGGACAATGGGAACGGGAACGGGACAATGGGAACGGGACAATGGGAACGGGAACGGGCCAATGGGAAGGGGACAGTGGGAATGGGGTAATGGGTATGGGACAATGGGAACGGGACCAGGAATGGAACGTGGACAGGACCGGGGCCTCGGCGGCAGCTGCGGCCACAGAGTCCGGTCGGGATGGGCCCGCGTCTCTCCCGGGGCACACGGGACCTGCGGAGCCCCCGCTGCGACCCCGCGGGAATTCACTGATTACTGTAATTAACCAATAAAGCCTGTTTGCCATAAGCGAGTCGTGGATGCGTCACACACAGCAGCCCCTCTGTCGCGACAGTGCCGCCCTGTCACGAGCCTGCGCCCGGGTCCTGCCGCTCGGCCACCGGTGCCGGGGTTTCTCCGTTTCCCGTTATTCCCGCGCTGCTGTGGAACTGAGGGGAAGCTGAGGGGGTTTGAGCCAGCCGGTTAAAACCCGGGATGCAGGTTAAAGCCCCCAGATGGGTTATGTGGGAGCAGGGAGGGCTCTGCATTCCGGGGGGCTGCGGTGGAACACGGGGAGTCCTCTCCAGGGGCCCCAAGCCCGGCTGCTCCTGTGGCTGCATCCCGCCGGAGTGGATGGGCTGTGCCCGAGCAGCCTTCCCGGGGCGTTCACTTCTCCAAGGACTTTGGAAAGCATCCTTGGCTCTCCCCAGCCACTGCAATCCCCTGGGTATCCCAGAAGATGCTGGATGTAAAACGGGTGTTCTCCATCTGGAAAAATTTTGAAAGGGGCAGTTGAACCCTCATTTTTCATTAGATCCCCACGCGTTGCAGCAGATCCGATTTCCTTGTTAATTGGGTGCTGTTCATTTTCTCCACTTCATTACTTGCCGCCGCACCTAGAATTTATATCCATTTGGTTTAATCGCGTTCGCCTGGTTAAATTCCAAACAGTCACTCGTTCAGAAAGGGAATTACTACTTTACTTTGCCAGGACTTCCACTTTGCCTTAATTTCCCTGGAGCCTCGTTTACTTATCTCTGCCTGTTTTCCCTCCCTGGGTCCCCTCGGGCCTGGCTGGGAGCGTGTGGCACCCGTGCCATCGTGGCTCGTTCCACGTGCGAGTGCCACAGCCCTGGCCAGAGGCCATGCCAGGAGCTGGTGGGCTCAGGCATTGCCTGGCACAGCCTCACCCAGCCCGGGCTTGAAAAATACACAGTGAGAGAACAGGAACCACTTCAGGTGCTTCAGAGATGCTCTTGGAGTTCTGGAGCTCCTGGGGCAGAGGCACTGTCCCCACGCCCCCCGACCCCAGCTGGGCTTGATGATGGTCCCAGAAACTGTGGCACAGCTCCAGCTGCAATTCCCTGTCCGTGCAGGCAGAGTTGGAGTGTCCCTGACACAGCAGGTGTGTGTCTGTGTCTCACCGCTCGCTCCGTGTTGGGGAGTCCGCGAAACACCAAGCGCCTCCGGACTGCTCACCTAAAGAGAAAATTTCACGCAGGATCCTCAAGTTCTGCACCATAAACGCACTTTCCCCTTCCTGGCTGCTGCTCGTGCTGTAAAATTCTTTCCAATACTCCTGAGGGTCAAAATTCTGCTGGTAAAACTCTTCCTCCGCGCGGATCGCTGGCGTTTCCATCCTGCCGAGAGCCAGCTCCGCTGCTCTGCCCTTCTGTGCCGTGTAGCCAGCCGGACTGATGGCAGCAGGACTGCAGCGTGCTCTCCAAGCCCTGCTTTTTCCATAATAACTCGCTTCTGCAGCCCCCGCAGCCCTCGCCCTCCGCCCTGAGCAGCACAGAGGGGACCCGGCGGTGGCAGCTCCTGCGCCATCGCCACAAAGAGGCAGCAGAGCCCTGCGCTTCTGGCTCTGGCAGGTCCCCACAGCAGCTCGTCCTCCTCCCACTCGCCCAGCTGGAGCCGAAATGATCAAACAGTTTTAGGCTCATTACCGACTCCAAATCTATATCATTTGCCTTTGCTTTTTTAAAGATCCATCGTTAGAAGTGACAGCAGAGGAGCTGCCGCATCATCGTCAAACTAGTAAGCGCGAGTGTAGATCCAAGGTGCATTTGCTTTACAAACCCCCTCACTGAGCCAGACCTGCCACTGCCAAACCCTCTGCTGAGCATGTGAGGCGTAAAGAGGACGTCAGCTAGAAAGATGAACATGGTAAAGAGGTTTACTTCTGTCAGAAAAACCAACAATCGGTGCTTCCTGCTACTGCAGCGCTGGCACACGAGGCCCTGCACGAGCCTTGCTGACCAGGAAAGCTGACCCAGGGGCGTTCACCAGTTCAGTGCTTAGCTTTCAGTCCTTCAAGCCTGATTTTGTTCACTGAATTACATGATCTGGGGATAAAAGTACAAACTGTCAGCACCCAGAGGCCCCTGAGCAGGAGTGGCAGAGCATCTTGGAGCTGACAAAACTTACTGCCCTCATTGCCAGCCTGGCACTGCCTGGTTCTGGGAATCATGGAATCTGAGAATGCCCTGGGATTGGCCTGCCACAGGCAGGGACACTTTCCACCAGACCAGGCTCCAAGCTCCATCCAACCTGGCCTTGGACACTTCCACTGATGGGGCCTCCACACCCTCACAGGGAAAGGTTTCTTCCTAAAACCTGGTCTAAACCTACTCTGTCAGTATGAAGCCTTTCTCCCTTGTCCTGTCACTCCAGGCTGTAAACAGTAAAAACTCTAATAGGCTCCCTTCAGGCCATGATTAGGTCAGCCCAAAGAGCGAGCCTCCGAGCCCATGGCAGCCCCCAGAATGGCTCTGACGCTGCAGCTTCCCAGCTCCACGAGAGCTTGGCTCCAGACGTCTGATTTCCATTTCCCCATTCTCTTATTTCAATCAAAGTGTGTGATTAGGGCTGTGCGAGCTCCATTGTCATCTCCACCTAAGTGCTGCTCTGATGGGTGGAAACAGCATCTCAGTGTTTACAGTGAAGAATGCATGGCTCTGCTTTCCTGGACAGTGCACAAAATCTGCCACTGCAGGGAGGGAAAAATCACACGAGAAACAAGCAGGAGCTGCAGGAGGCTGGCAAGGGAGGAGGGGAGCTCTCCCAGCCTATGGGGAGCACCTTGTCCTCGTCCCCTTACCTGTGCAGCAGCTGGCAGATTATAAAGGGCAGAGGGAGCTGGACAGGAGCCATTTTGGTATTTGCAGCACCTCGAGGTGTTGCTGGGTTAGGCTCTACATGAGCACGGCTCCTGCTGGTGTCCCAGAGGAGGTTTGGAAGCAGCCAGTTCATGCAGTGGAACACTGGCCTGGGTGTCCTTTGAGGGTACTACTGGGCGCTGGTGCTTTTGTGGGGCTTGGTTGAAGGTGGCTGGTTCTTTCAGTTGTTGTAGAAAACATTTGGAGTTTTCCCCTGCATTTCTGTGGTCAGAAATATTGTGCTTCAAGGTCCCTGTCAGTCAGAGGGATCCACCACTGCTGTGCCCTTCCCTCTGCCCCTTTCCTCCCAGGGACAGACGTTTGGCCGAGTCTCTGTTGCATGGGCATCAGTGGGATCTTACTTAAATGAGAGGTAATTAACAACTGGCCGTGCTGCTGGGCCCCTGCCCCGGGTCTCGCTGCCCACAGAGGGGAGCGGGAGCAGCCTAGTGCCAGGAACAAAAGGCATCTCTTCTCCTTGTGGTGTAGAGGATCCCAAACAAAAGGTTCCCAGTTCCCTGCACTCCTCTCCCTGCTTCTCACTCCCCTTTCTATGCTCCCACTCTTCAACAGGGATTTAAGCTGTTCTTTTCTCTGGGTTGCAACAAGAAAGTAGCAATTAACTGTTATAAGGCTGTTTTATAGTCCTGTGCAAACCCTTTCCATCCACTCTGCTTTAAATGGGTACATCTTTTATTCCCAGTTTTCGGGAGTGTAAAACTTTACAGCGCTTGCTGCAAACCTTCATACTTTGCTTTGCAGTTTATTGCTCCCTCTGCGGATATATCTCACTCATAAATATGGCTTCCAGCTCCCAGAACTTGACTAGGAGCTGCAATGCCTCAGAGTGGTGCCATTAATGGGACTTTGCCTACATATCGCAGTGTGATTCATCCCAAACCTCTGTCTCTGCCCGAAGGTGCAGAGCTCTGTAGCTCAGCTCTGGCAGCAGCAGGTCTCTCAGCCAGAGCATTCCAGCGCCAGCTGCACATCCCTGTGGCTCTGAAGGTGTGAAGGTGGCTGTGGAGAGCTCAGTGTGAGCTGGGGTGGCTTTGGGCACTGCCATTGTGCAGCCTTGGAGCAAAGGCTGTCTCAGGTGGAGAGTTTCCTCTCCTATGGATTGTTTGCAGATTATTTGTAAAACTTTATTTTCCTATGATTAGCGTGGAGTCTCCGCTCTCCCCATACTAAGAGGGACAAATAAAAAGGTTCCAATGGTGAGGTTCCTGTGGGTTTAGGAATGACATGGGTGTGTTGTTTCTGACCACCCTGTAGTAGTTTTTATTTCCATGGGATCACTGAGGAGCTCTTTTACCCTACTGCCCAATTTTTGGAACACTTTGGAAATGTGCTGTGCTTGACACAGACTC